CAGCATTTATTAATAAAAATTAATTTTTATTAATTTTTATAACAAAATGCCATTCTGAAAGTCAGAGGCAGTATTTATTATTAAAAAAATTAATGTTTAATAATAAAATTCTGCCCCAAAAGTCAGATGCGGCATTTATTAATAAAAAAATTAATTTTTATTAATTTTTTATATTAAAATGCCACCCCGAAAATTGAATGCGGTATTTATTAATAAAAAAATTAATTTTATTAATTTTTTATATTTAAATACCATCCTGAAAGTCAGACACAACATTTATTATTAAAAAAATTAACTTTTTATTAATTTTTAATAATAAAATGCTGTTCTAAAAGTCAGACATGGCATTAGGACTTTGAACTATACTAATATAACTCACATTTGAGTTTGAGTAGAGTTTATATGTAAACTTTACCAAAAGTTGCTTATTTTTACAAATTGTCTTATTATACATATCCCATTATATCAATAACCAGTGATTCAACTTTAATGAAATTTATATTATAGGATTCGCCTAACCGAGAGGAATCTAATGGTAATAATTTCATCTTTTTAGCATTAATATTGACCGAGCTATACCATACAATATAATTTTAATTATGTGTTCATATTATATTTGTGAGTTCTATTAGTATAGTTCGGGTCCTGCAGCATTTATTATTAAAAAATTAATGTTAATAACAAAATGCCATTTTGAAAGTTGGAAGCGGCATTTATTATTAAAAAAATTAATGTTTAATAATAAAATTCCGCCCAAAAGTCAGATGCAGCATTTGTTAATAAAAAAATTAATTTTATTAATTTTTATATTAAAATTCTGCCCCAAAAGTCAGACGCTACATTTATTATTAAAAAATATTATTTTTAATAATTTTTAATATTTAAATGCTGCTCCAAAAGTCAGACATAGCATTTACACAGTGAAATTCGATGTAACGGAACCTCGATAAACTGGAACTAGCCTTATAACAGAACTTTTTATTGGAACCAAATCATATATACTAAAATAAATTTGATGTAACGGAATCTATTAGTAAAATCTCGATAATCATTATAATGGAATAAGATTCATATCGGTTATAGTAAAAATGATTCGATATACTGAAACACGTAATGATCCACAATAATAAGCCAATAAAATTAATTTACGTGACTCTGATAATCTTTTTTTTTTAGTAATACTGCTAGATTAGTGATACCTGACTAAACTCTTTTTTGAAAAATTGTAATTTCGTCAAAAATTTCATCTCTTTAATATTTTTATATGAATAAATATAAAATTATTATATTTTTTAATGTATTTTAATTCAAGGAATTTAGATCAAGTTAAATATAATTTCGTCAATTAAGTAAAATAATTTCGTCATTAATAAAAAACTAGTTTCGTTATTTCGGTTTCATCAATTTCGTCATATTAAGAAAGATAATTTCGCCAGGTATCATTATGCTAGATTTTTAATTTTTTCGTGCATCCTTTTGCTTTTCAATTTCTTTTATTTAAAATAAAAATAGAAAAAGTTAACAGAAAGGGTTTAGATACTCAAAAAAAAAAAAAGAAAATTTTTAACATTTGCTCAAAAAAAAGAACTTTGTGAAAAATGTCGAGATCTAAAATTTAATGATATGCAATTAACAAAGGAATATGGAATTTCTGACAGTGCAGTTTCTGATATTTTAAAAAAAATCTGAGCATTGGCTTTCTATTGACATTACTTTATCAAATACAAATAATTTTTGTGAAAAACTAAGTAATTTTTCACAAATAGAAGAGGCTGTTAGTATCTGGGTTAATCAGCAAATTTCAAGAAATTTAATTCTTAGTGGATCTATTATTCAAGAAAAAGCAAAAGAATTTGCTATATTATTTGATATTAATGTTTTTTTAGCATCAGGAGGATGGTTAAATAATTTTAAACATAGAAACAACTTGCATATATTTAAAATAAGCAGAGAAGCTGATAGTGCTCCAATTAATGAAATTTCACAAATGAGAGTTGAATTGCAAGAAGTTCTTTAAGAATATGAATTAAGAAATATTTGGAATTGTGATGAAACTGCTCTTTTTTGGCACTTGGAACCATGTAAAACAATAGCACATTCTCCAGTGCTTGGTAAAAAACGTTCAAAAGAACGCGGTAGTATATTAGTAACATGCAATGCATCTAGTAATAAAAAATTACCTTTGCTTTTTATTCATAATATCAAACACCTCGTATATTAAAAGGAATTGAAAAAAATCTCTTCCTATCTGATACTATTGGAATTCAAAGACCTGAATGCAAAGAAGTATCTTTAAGCATTTTCTTAAAAGATTAAATTCAAAAATAGTTAGGGAAAGACGTCATATTATTTTATTAATGGATAATGCTAAATGTCATAATTGTGAAAATATTAATAATTTATCAAATGTTAAAGTTCATTTTTTACTACCAAATACAACCTCACATCTTCAACCATTAGATCAAGGCATAATTTACAGTTTAAAAGCATAATATCGCAAATTATTATATCAAAATCATATTCAGACTTATGAGTTCTATGAAGAAGGTGATCCAATTCCATGCTAATTGATATTCTTGACTCTATTAATTTAATTACTAAAGCTTGAAAAAAAGTAACTAAAAAAACAATCATTAATAGTTGGGCTAAAGCTGGAATTTTTTCTAATGATAATAATTTTGATATTTCTGATAATGATGACGATATTGAAGAAGATAATATTGAAGAATTACAATTATTAATTAATGAATTACCAATTACAAATCTGTTAAATATGGAAGAATATATTAATATTGACGATGAATTAATTGTTGAAGAAGAATTATCATCAGAAGAAATTGTTAATATTGTTAAAGGTCAAGCTGTAGCGGAAGAGGTTGAGGTAAAAGAAGATAAAATTATAACTTCATCAGATGCATTAAATAGTATTGAAAAATCAATTAAATATGTTCAACAAAATGATTTGGGTATTAATCATTTAGATATATAAAGTTTACTTAATTTGAAAAAAAAAATTATTTCTGATAATAAGAAAAAGCAGAGGCAAAGTAAATTAGATGCCTTTTTATATTAGGTGTAGAATTTTTTTCAAAAATAAAAAAATTAAGAAAATTTTTTCACGTAAAAATAAAAATTCGATATAACGGATCTTCATGTGATTTTATATAAATTCTGATATATTGAAAAATTTTTGCCATATCAGAACACTTGATATACTGGATATACCAGATATTTTTGCTGAAACAGATGGTTCTATTACATTGAATTTTACTGTGTATTATTAAAAAAATTAACTTTTTATTACGTTTTAATAATAAAATGCCATTCTGAAAGTCAGACGTGACATTTATTATTAAAAAATTAATGTTAATAATAAATTCCACCCTGAAAGTCAGATGCGGCATTTATTAATAAAAAAATTAATTTTATTAATTTTTTATATGAAAATGCCGCCCCTGAAAGTTAAACGTGGCATTTATTAATAAAAAATTCATAAAAATTAATTTTTAATAACAAAATGCCGTTCTGAAAGTCGAAGGTAGCATTTATTATTAAAAAAATTAATGTTTAATAATAAAATTATACCCTGAAAGCCAAATGCAACATTTGTTAATAAAAAAATTAATTTTTATTAATTTTTTATATTAAAATGCTATTCTGAAAGTCATACGTGGCATTTATTATTAAAAAATTTCATTTTTAATAATTTTTAATATTTAAATGCCATTCTGAAAGTCAGACACAGCATTTATTATTATAAAAATTAACTTTTTATTAATTTTTAATAATTTTTTATTGATTTTTAATAATAAAATGCCATCCTGAAAGTTGGATGCAGCATTTATTATTAAAAAAAATTAATGTTTAATAATAAAATTCTGTCCCAAAAGTCAGATGCGGTATTTATTAATAAAAAAATTAATTTTTATTAATTTTTTATATTAAAATGCCATCCCAAAAGTCAGAGGCAGCATTTATTAATAAAAGAATTGATTTTTATTAATTTTTATATTAAAATGCCACTCTGAAAGTCAGACATGACATTTATTATTAAAAAATTTCATTTTTAATAATTTTTAATATTTAAATACCACCCAAAGTCAAAAGTAGCATTTATTAATTTTTATATAAAAATGCCACCCCAAAAGTTGGACGTGGCATTTATTAATAATTTTATTAATTTTATTAATTTTTATATTAAAATGCCACCCCGAAAGACGAACGTGACATTTATTAATAAAAAATTAATTTTTTATAACCAAATGCCGTCCTGAAAGTGAAATGTAGCATTTATTATTAAAAAATTTAATTTTTAATAATAAAATGCCAATCTGAATGTCGGAAGTGGATTTTTGTTAAAAAAACAACAAAATTGTTGTTTTTTAACATTAAAACGTCGTTCTGAACGGTGAAAGCAAATTTTTGTTAAAAAAATTTTTTGATCTGTCAAATATAAATACAAACTCAAATACAGATTTGGATTTGGATTTGTCAGATTTAAATCGAATCAGATTTTGCCCAAATCTGATCCAATCTGATCTGTGCGGAACACTACTTGTGTATTATAAATTTGAAAGATAAAATCAAAAATAAAAATTTGGAATTTCAAGAGACGAAAGAAAAAATACAAGAAGAATTATATCAATTATCAATGCAAGTTATTAATTATATTAAAGATATGATACCACCCGCTTTTTTTAAAACCAATATTAATAATACCAAAAGATCAATTAGAGTTGTATAAACTATATAAGTTAGTTTTACAATAATATAACTAATATATATATAAAACCTGCAAGATGGTGGAGAATATTACAAAAAAATATTAATGTATGAAAAATATTATTCTTTTTTAAAGAATAATGAAAGAAAAAGTAGGAATTTATTTCCTTCTTTTAAGAAAAAGTTAAAGGAAATTTTGTTAGATGCCGCTGATGAATTTGGATATTTGGAAAAAAAAATTAAATGAAAGGAAGGCAATTCAGAAAAAATTTAGATACATGTATAATAAGTTACATAAGGAATTCAATTTGTTCAAGTGGAATAATCCAAATTATAAGAGTGATTTGGATATTCAAGAATATCCTCTAATTATAGTAGAAAGAATAGAATCACGTGATAAAAATTTGAATAATATTGATTCTATTTTTTTAAATTATAATATATCAAGTTTTAAAATAATTGAGGGTATGTATTAAAACTAATGCAGTATTAAATTTTATTTGATAAAAATTAATTCTAATATATATTAAATTTATTTTATATAGGAAATTATCATTGCGTTAATAATGATAATAAAATCTTATTTAGATTGTTTGAAGTTCTTCTAATACTAGCTGAATTAAAGAATCAATTAGGAACAAAAGGAAAGCATACAAAGAAGGGTTAACATTTACCTTACAGGATGAAGTTCAAGGGAATGAGGATGATCTAGAGGATCTAGATAAAAAATTGCCTTGGCCAGTTCCATTTCCAGATAATGAAGAATATCAGAAAGTATAGTAAAAAAGAATTCAGATAGCAAAAGACATGTTTAAAGTAGATGATGCTAAATATATATTTTTGACTTGATTTGCAAAAGTTTCAGGTAAAGAATTAACAAATGTATTGTTATCAACTAGAAGCAAAAAAGAAGTCACAAAGAAAGTAAAAAAAGTATATTTATAAAGAAGACTATATGATGAAGAAATGTTTTCAGAATTTATAGAGGTATTAATATATGAATATAAGGCAGAAGACAAAGTAAGTCTAGAATAATTGGCATTTATAAAATACCATTTTGAAAACACAAAAATATATGAAGCTGGGATGACTAAAGAGCGTGCTAAAAAGATTTTAGATGCAATAGATAATAATAGGTTTCTTATAAGAGTAAAATTTGTTAGAAATGATTATTACAATGATGGAAGACATAACTATGCATTTAAAATCATTGATAAATATCAGCCTATTCGAGAATCAAAGTGGGCTAGTAAGACATTTATTCCAGGAAGTCTAAATGTTATCCTTATAAAGAAAATAAAGTCAGACTTTTAGGTAGGAATTGACAAGAAATTTTTAGTTAGGATTATTCAAGGTGAAAAATTATCAGAATATATTGAACTTAATGCAAATGCAATTGTATATAGGTTGTATCAAATTCAGGAGCCAGATAGTAAATGATTAATACTAATACTAATGAAAATAACTGTATCGCTTAGCGAGTAATAGAGACTAGTATATATAAGCAAAAAATTAGCATATAAGAAAAAATGCGCCAACCTGATGCTCAAATAGAAGATGTAACAGAATTGGAAAAAATACTTAAGAGGCTAATCAAATTGCTTGATATTACTCAAGGAAACATTTTTAATAGTAGAAAATATTGAATAGGTAAGTTTAATGAGATAGAGATGATAGTTCACAATAGCCATACACTAGTCGAAATAATCCATTTCGTCACTTTTTAAAAGTGCCGAATGTTGGCTGAAATAAAGTCTAATTTTTGCCGATCATTGCCAAAACAATTGGCATTTTTAGTTATAGCTAAAGTTGCCTATTTCCATGCTATACAAAAAAACATTCGACATTAACGATTGGTTGTTGTTTTATATGTTTGATAAACTCAGCTTAAATTCATTTAACTAACAAAACAACAAAATTTGACTTGTTAATAAAAAGTTTGATAATATTTCGGTTATAAGTAATCGCAAAATCGGCGAAATAAAATTTCTGATATTTAGACGATCTTATTATATTTATTTTCATATTTTTAACGATTTATTTATTTTATAATAACGTAATTTAATCGAATTAATAACAAATGGTTTATTAATTTAAAATATA